TTCATCCAGGGCTACTCAGCGAGGGCAGCCCCACTAACGGACACCTATTGAAAGAATAAGACATGGGATTGGTCCGAGAAATGTCAAACGGCCTTTGATGATTTGAAGGCGGCCGTGATGGAGGAATCAGTCTTGGCATTACCGGATTTCACCAAGACCTTTGAAGTACAAACAGATGCCTCAGACTTTGCTATCGGGGGTGTTCTAATGCAAGAAAGGCATCCTATTGCTTTTGAAAGTCGCAAGCTCAACGACACTGAGCGTCGGTATACGGTGCAAGAAAAGGAGATGACGGCTATTGTTCATTGCCTACGAGTGTGGCGTCATTACTTGTTGGGCTCAAAATTCATCATCAAGACGGATAATGTCGCTACTAGTTATTTCCAATCACAAAAGAAGTTGACTCCCAAGCAAGCACGTTGGCAAGATTTCTTAGCGGAGTTTGACTATGTGATGGAATACAAGCCGGGGAAGGCGAATGTTGTAGCCGATGCGTTAAGCAGGAAGGCGGAGCTTGCAGCCATAAGCCAAGCCAAAGGGACGTTGCTTGATTTGATTCGGGAAGGCATGGATCATGATCCCTTGGCTAAGGAGTTGGTAAAAGCTGCCCAAGAAGGAAAGACGCGACGATTTTTGGTCGAGGACGGCTTACTCTACACTATGGGGCAGCGTATCTATGTTCCTAAATGGAACAATTTGCGGCGAGATATCATCAAGGAGTGCTATGACACAAAGTGGGCTGGTCATCCAGGGCAGAAACGCACATTGGCACTACTTGGACGAGCTTACTATTGGCCGCAAATGAAAGACATGGTGGAGCTCTATGTAAAGACTTGTCTTGTGTGCCAACAAGACAAGGTGGAAACAAGGTCACCAGGGTTTGTTGGAGCCTCTACCAGTCCCGGAGCGTCCATGGGACTCTATCACCATGGACTTCATTAGTGCCCTGCCTAAATCCGAAGGGTTCGGGTCAATAATGGTGGTGGTTGATCGATTCTCTAAGTATGGCACCTTCATTTCTGTCACCAAGGATTGCACAACAGAGGAAGCAGCAAGGCTATTCTTCAAGAATGTTGTGAAGTATTGGGGGTTACCGCGAAGCATAATAAGTGATCGTGACCCCCGATTCACGGGTCGGCTATGGACGGAGTTGTTCAAACTCCTAGGCTCGGACCTACACTTCTCTACAAGCTTTCACCCTCAGACGGATGGACAAACAGAAAGGGTGAATGCTTTGTTGGAGTACTATCTTCGGCACTTTGTAAGTGCCAATCAGAGAGATTGGGCCAAGCTCCTGGATATTGCACAATTTTCCTACAATTTACAAAGGAGTGAAGCCACGGGGCGGAGTCCATTCGAGTTGGCGACAGGACAACAACCACTAACACCCCACACTTTGTCCACTTCTATTGAAGGAGGGAGAAGCCCCGGAGCATGCAAAATGGCTAAGTCATGGGAGGAGCATGCCGACTTAGCACGATCTTGTTTAAACAAAGCACGGAGGCGCATGAAGAAGTGGGCCGATAAGAAGAGACGGCCTTTGGAATTTAAAGTTGGCGACCAAGTCCTTGTGAAAATATTACCTCAACAATTCAAGGCGTACCGAAGTGTGCACAAAGGCTTGGTACGGAGATATGAAGGGCCGTTCCCGGTGGTAGCTAAGGTTGGCAAGGTATCTTATCGCCTTGACCTACCTAGCACTTTAAAGATTCATCTCGTCTTCCATGTGAGCATGCTGAAGCCATATCATGAAGACATGGAAGACCCTAGCCGAGGGGAGTCACAACGGGCACCTCCGATTGTGACTAAGTCATTTGATAAGGAGGTTGATGAGGTTTTAGCAGATCGCATTGTTCGAAGGCGTGGAGTGCCTCCTTGCCAACAATTTTTGATAAAGTGGAAGGGATTGCCCGAGTCCGAAGCAACGTGGGAAAGTCAAGAAGACTTGTGGCAGTTCGAAGACAAACTAAAGCATTACGCGGCGACGAGAGCGTCGCCCAAATAAGCAGGGGAAAATGTCACGACTCGCTCGATTTTGGCACAAGAAGATCGAGAAATTTAAAATGTTGACGACTTGAGGCTAACCGGAATATTCTAGACTCCCACAAGTGCATGAAGATTGCTAGAATATGATGGGACATTCTAGAAGCCTACAAGCTCCTCACTTGGTGGATTATTCTAGATCATCCTAGTTTAGTCCATAAATATTTTAATGTAAATATTTGTATAGAAAATTCTAGATGTGTAATCTAGACCATTGGATAGAAAAGATCCTAGCCATCCATTTGAGGAGGCTACTACTATAAATAGTTTGGTAGGATTCATTTGAAGACATTAAGAGAGTGAAGTTGTAAAGAGTATCCTTATTCAATACAAAGCCTTCTTTGTAAGTTTCTGTGTTCCTTCATTGTCCCTTTCTTAAAGTGTTCTACTTAGTGCCTTTCTAAGACATCAACGCCAATCGGGAGACTGACTTAGTGTAATAACCGCGGGGGCGGAAGTTGAAGACACTAAGACCGCACGGTTCTTGGAGGAAATTAGCAAGTCCGTGACAACATGCTGAAATTATTCTTAATATTCTTCACAGAAGCAAAAAGATGCTAGTATCTATTTTCCTCAAAACAACTGGACAATAAACCATATATCTACTTAAGAATATAATGTTCACTGGATGGCTTATCATGCAAGTTAATGTTTCACTGATAATTTCATCCATTAAGATCTTTGACCACTATTTCCGATCTAAATAGCAAGTCTCACCAACAAAAAACTAAATGGTAACCACCATCAAGATGCAAATGATATGATTAAAAATAACCACGTGGTCCAAGAATAATGAAGCAGAAATTTGGTCTTCATACCTGCCAAACATTTGCCCATACTTCACCATTCACTTACTCCAGTTCATTGAGGTTGTGAACCTCGTCTCCTTTGTACTTGACTGCATGTGCTTCAATGACTGTTGATTTGAGAGAACATACAAAGATGATGGACCAATTAACTGAAGATGCCAGATGAGAAATGAATAATGAAGTGAACAATGTATACTAGCACTCGAAAAACATAAATGCATATGCACGCTCTAGGAAAAAATGAAGAATATACATATATGCATGCACTAGCAGGTTCTGACAGAGTCAATTAATTTCTAGTCATCCTTGAAGCAATTGCAAAAGTAAATATCAAAAAATATGAATTCTCCACCCTCTGTGAGAGAGAGAGAGAGAGAGAGAGAGAAGGGGGGAGAAGGAAAGGTCCAGTAGGTGTTGATGCCGTAAATGGGCCTAACGGCAAAGCTGAGACAAGAACTAAATTCACTTCGAATTTCATATAATGGAAACCTTTCAATGTTTGAGGGTTAATCTGATACAAGGTTGAAGTTCCATCTCCAAATATAACTTTCCCATCAGTTGCCAACCCCCAGCCATCTTGCATTTGGTGAGTGAACTTCTTAAACTGTAGACGATGCAGAAAAATATCAGACACACAGGCGAGTAACCACTTACTCCAGAATTTATGCATCTTCAAAAATCAGAGGATAGAAACATTCAATAAATGTATTCAGAGACTATTTGATATTGCTATAGGATAATATAGGAACTCAGAAGTAACGGCTTCTCCAAGAAACACCGCAGCATTGAGACTAGTCTTTGTCCAAATTATCATTAATAAATCCAATAATTAGAACCCATAATCCCGGCTAGAATCAGATTGATTGAATACACGAACTAGAATTATAAGATTAAATTAAGATACGGAAATAATTCCTCCTCTTTAATCACGATCACACTAAGGCATATATCAAATGTATAAGGCAGAAGCCTATAGAACTTAAGGCAAACAACTACAATAAGAATATGACTGGTCTCTACAATTATACTCCAATGCTTTTAGAATCAATTCTTAACTTGATAAACAACTAAGATTAAATATGAAAAATAATTGAAAACTGATTTTTACACTATAATGACTTAGCTAATGTTCCCATATATATATACAAGACATTTTACTAGTCCTGCAGCTGCAGTTCAGAAATTTTCTGAAAATTTGAGAATTATAGCGATAGAAGTTTAACATCCAGAAATCACCAATTCAAAATTGGAGTACACTCAAGACATATAAAACAAAATTAACAGTATTAAACTGGGTTTTAGACTTTGGATTTCATATCATACTCATAAAACTCATCAAATTAAAATGGCACAAACATATATAGGAGAATATTGAAACAAGGAAAAGGGTGAAGCACAAACTTTGCTTAAGTTATTTCGGTCATATATGAAACCAGTTTTCTCCGACCAAGTAACTTGAAACAACCTACAAAAGTACATGAGATTACAACATTAGAAATACGGCTATTTAACTTTGATATAAAAGAATCACCCAATTTAGATTTTGCAATTGATATAAATAAACTGATTCTTTAACAGGTATATACAACCACAGAACCCTAGGAAAACACAGTTAAAACTTAAGTTTGTTCTAATTTTCGCAATAAATGACAGTGAAGCTGTAGATAAGCAGATCCAGAGTGCTCACAATAACATTTCTCGCTTTCCCTATTATCTACATACCATTTAATCTTTAAAAGCTTCCTCTACTCAATAAAGAGAAAATAAAATTTGAAACAAAAACAATTTTTTCTCACAAACCTTTCACCGATAAGAGTTAAACCCTCCCCAAAGTAAGAATTCTGCATTTTGTGAATAGCCTCAACCTGCAAATGTAGAAACAGTAAATTATTCCAATTCATGTATGAGGAGCCAGATCTGTGGGACTGGGATGTATCTTTTCTGAGGCTTAATTATAAACTACATCCAGTAAGAAATAAATATTTTATACAGCAGTGCAGACATAGAGTTTAATTTTGAAACAAAATTGAGATGCTCAAATCTAAAATTGGGTACCTTCCCTGTCTGAAGAGTGACTTTCCGAACGGACAACTGCAATTAGAAAGTAGGAAAACTTAAGCGGATAACTTGTAGACAAACTTATCATTCATGTGTAAGCAATAATATAGGCAAAGTAAATACGTCCAGCAAATGAAACCAGAAAAAATATCGGGCAGTGCATTAGCATCATATGTTTTGGAACCTTAATTGTCTTTTGGGTTTCATTAGGACCATGCACAACACAGGATAATCAGCAGGAACTAAATTTACAACTTGAAGCAATATGTCAAAAAGAAAATAAGCACAAACATGGGAACTGCATTGATGCCACATACCTATATTTGTCAAGTCTTAGAGGCAAATAAGATGTTAACTCACATGTCCTTTAAGACCGGTTGATTCAAAGAGTTTATCATTTCCTGCATACAGAAGCCCCTAAAAACAAATGGACATTGTCAATTCCAAAGCAGAGAAATAACTTTCAGATTCAAAATTCATGGTTTACAACTCATAGTAGAAGCTCTAAATTGAAATCAAATGTAGAAGAATAAAGCATTAAATATGACTTTCATCTAATTCCAATTGAGCATACAAACAAATTGGAGGGTATATCCAGACAGAAACTGAAGCCTATCTGGTACTTTTAACTGATTTTAATCAGAATTCAGAAAGCGTTAATCAAAACTCCCAGTTGGATGCTTGTTACAATGAAAAACTTGATTAATTTATTGTTCTGAAGCTCAAGAGGACCGATTGTGCATTAGTTACCCATATGCAAATGCCCTATGCGCATTAACAGTATCAACATTCATGTAGGCCCAAATATAAGAAAAAGAAGACTAGCAAATGCAAGTGCAACAAAATCTGCATAAAATTACTAAAATAAAAGCCATAATTAACGTCCAAAAAAGATTCATTTTTACCTATCAGTAATTCATTCAAGTGCAAAAACGTTCAATCCAAAAAAAAATAAAAAAATAAAAATATAGATTCAAATAAATCTACGTGAAATGGACCTCAGTAAAGGCATTAGGATCGTGGGGGAACTCATTGACCACTTCGTTCCACATTGACCACTTCGACGGCGTAAATCTGAGCCGACGGAGGTTTTGTTCCAAAGACGGTCTGGACGCTCGACAAAATACGCAGTACAACAAAAACGCCCAAAATAGAAATAGCTGAAATGACTAAAGAGAACATTCTCAGAGGAAACGACGGCGTAGAATACGACATCAAATTGTGACTGCACTTAGTGAGGTACGAAGATCGCTTCATAGATTTTTTCCTCAGCGATGCGTTGGCCATGGTGAAAGAAGAGCATTCATGCGTGAACGATGGTGGTGAGAGCAGCCGTGAATTTCGGCGTGGAGGGGCTGATGACTGGCGAAGTAGGATGAGGTGGCAGAATGATATCTGTGGTTTGACTCGTCAGAATAGAATAATGTCATAAAGAGAGAAATGATGTCTAACTCGAAATATATAATATCAACTACATGTACATGTACAAGGAACATTATCCCTAACAAAAAATAATAATAATCGAAGATTCAGAAACGTGACCTTAATAAAGGATGATAAAAAAATAATAAATTTTTTGATTAAACAAAATATTTTAAAAGCTTTATAGTTTAAACCTTCACTTGCAATGCCTAATTATTAATGCTACTAAATTGATTTCCTAATCATAATTTAAGTACCGTGTGACGTAACACATTATAATAGATGGTGTTGACCTCGAAAATTGGATCCTCCACGTGGTCAATCGATAGCCACTCCACGTATTTCTCGCTGCGCACAATCAACGCACGGTCAGATGCACACAGTTGGAACCAGCGGGGGTGGCGGCGGCCGTATACACTCAGACGATCAAGTTAGGCTCAAGTGATCGGAACAGTACCAAGGTTGTGCAAAATAGTGGGGAGGAGAATATATGTTTACTTGTTAGGGAGTGCTAAGTAGAAAGAGTTTCATTGCCTTTGCTTCTTGCCAAACCTTGGGTATTTATAGGTGAGGAGAGCCGTTGGATGTGGGACATGTGTATACATCTGAACGGTATGAGGCGTCTGCTCATAGGCGTCAATCGACCGCGTCTATAGAGTGGGCGGGTAGTTACTTTTCCCGAGTTGAGTTGACATAAAGTTGATAAGTCACATCAATAAGCCTCATGGAGACGTCAAGTCACTTTAAACCTTAGGGGCAGAAAAGAACTTGACAAAGATCTCATTCCGAAATCGACGGTGGATTCTCTTGTCGAGGTCCCTGGGGTTAATTTCGCCTCGGATTCAAGGGGGCGAGGGCGCTTCGGTCAATCATGCAGGATTACCTACGCTTGGTAGTGTGATAGCAGATCCATTGGTGAAGTCACTTCGAAACCACTTCGGATGAGCGTTCCACACCTCGCGTGGTGTGGTGGTGGACTTTCCGAGGTGGTTTAGTTAGGGGCGTAACAGTGGTCCCTCAAGTCCAAGTATGAATATTTATATCATGGGTGGACTTGTCTTCTCGATCGGGTATGTGCGCCTTGGGATGGGGACCGTGACTTGTGAGAACTTGAGGGTCGATTTTCTGTATTCATCGAAGCGTTGTTCCCAGGCAGATGCGTTAAATCTTCGCCACTGCGTGAGGAAAAAATTTACGTGAGGCCGAGGTGCTGACGAGCTGGACAATGCGTGGGGAGATGGTCAACGCAGCGACCGAGGCGATGACCCACAGGGAACTTCGCACTGGGTGTGCCTAAGGTTTGTAAAGTTGAGTGAGGAACTCATTTGCCATCGGTATGCTGACCTACAGGAGACGATGCGTTGGGAGATGGCGAAAACTTTGTAAAGCTAAGGGTGGAGCGCAACGACCGAGATGATGACCCACAGGGGACTCCGCATCAGGTGCGCCTAAACTTTGTAAAGTTGAGTGAGGAGCTCATCTGCCACCGGTGCGCTGACCCACAGGGGACGACGCATTGGGAGATGGCCGAAACTCACAGCGACGGAGGCGATGACCCACAGGGGACTCAGCGTCAAGTGCGCCTAAGCTTTGTAAAGTTGAGTGAGAAGTTCATCTGCCACTGGTGCTCTGACCCACAGGGGACGACGCATTGGGAGATGGCCAAAACTTTGTAAAGCTTAGGAGGGAATGCAGCGATCAAGGCGATGACCCACAAGGGACTCCGCGTCAGGTGCGCCTAAACTTTGTAAAGTTGAGCGATGAGATCGTTCCGAGGCGGGCGTATATGACATTAAATGATTTGACAACTGTTGCGTATTTCTAAGGTGACAGTTGGGTGCAACGCCCATTCCCCTAAAAGGCTGCTGCAGCTACTTATTGTTGACGGCTGGTGGTGATCGAGGGGACGCGTTATATGCGACGTGAGGGTCACAGCAAAATCTTAGGCGTAAATCAAATAGTGGTGGCCAACAGTGCCTGCGTGGCCCGGGCTCTGAGCACCAACATCCAGCTTGAAGGCTTGGTGAAGGACCTCAACGTCAAGAGGGAAGACCTTGCCAAACGCCTTGAGGAGGCGATGCGGCACGGGGACGCGGTGAGAGAGGCCCAAGCCAAGACTGTGGAAGAGGAGAAAGGTAGAAAAGAGGCTGAGGCCCAGCTGGCGACTACCAAAGGGGAAACATAGCGGTTGAAGAAGGAGCTCTACGAGGTAGAGTGTCAGGTGGCAGCTGTGACCCGAAGAGTGGATCACGCTAATGAGCACCACCGGCTCACCATGGAGGCTCTAGAGGCCTCCAAAAAAGAAAGAGCGGAGCTGAGGCAGAGGGCGGAGGCCCAATCTGAGGAAATTGCCTCCTTGAAGAAGGAACTGAAGTCGGCAGGGGAAGTGGTTGTTCAAAATTTTATTGACCACTTTGAGAAGCATCCCCTGTACGACGACTTCACAAATTTTTGGGCCTCCTGGAGTGCCCAAGGCATATTGGGTCGGTTAAAAGAGGTCCACCCTACTTTGGACATCTCATCTCTGGAGGCAGAGTTCGGAAGACCTACTAGAGGCCGACCTGATAGGCTTGCCGAGGACACTCTGGTAGCCCCTGAGGCGGGCGAAGCAGAGGCTGGGGAAGGGCCTCCTGTAGAGTAGGGCTTATTTTGTAATGGCTTCGGCCTCTTGTAAATTTGAAGTGAATGAAATGAATTTTTTTTTTCACCAAGTGTTATTGCTTCGACTCTCGTATCGTATTGACCTGTTTATGCATATATGAATGACAACCTTTTAAGATTAAGCGCCTCTTAACAACAATCAGAAGATCGAACCACTTAAGTAATCATCAAGCATCTCTTAACAATAATCAGATGATCGGATCACTTAAGTAATAATCAGGTGCCTCTCAACAACAATCAGAAGATCAGATCACTTAAGTAATAATACTGAGGGACTGAGGTAATAATTTGTTAACCAATGTGACAAAGAACAGAAGTATCAATACTTAAAAAGTTACATTATCCATTACCAAGGCATTTTCAGTGCTCAGTAAGATGGGAAAATTACAAATGAGATCGGATCGGGACACAAACTTATTAGACAACATTAAGATCGGATCGGAACAAAAACTCATCACTGATAGTATTTTCTCAGGTGATTTCCCTGCCATGTCTTCAATTTCTAAAGTACCAGGTCGGGATTCCCTGCGGATGGGGTAAGGACCCTCCCAGTTCGATCCAAACACTCCTGACCCGGTTGGCTTTGATGATTGAAAGACCCTTCCGAGGACGAGGTCTTCCAGGCGAAGAGTTCGATTTTTTACCTTGGAGTTATAATAACGGGTCATCTTCCTATTATACTTTGCCAAATTCACCTGGGAGGTATTCCTCCTTTCTTCAAGGAGATAGAGTTCGTTCACGCGGGCCTCATCATTATTAACCTCGTTGAAGTGTATTCGTCGGTGCGATGGGACCTCGACCTCGACTGGGCTCATGGCCTCGACCTCGTAGGTCATTGAGAATGGTGTTTTCCCTGTTACATTTCGGCTTGTGGTTCGGATGGCCTAGAGGGCGTGGGGAAGTTCATCGACCCAAGCCCCCTTTGAGGTGTCAAGCTTTCTTTTCAGGGTATGCTTGATGATTTTGTTTACTGCCTCAACTTGTCCATTTGCTTGCGGGTGATGAGGCGTTGAGAAGTCCTTTTTATTCCCAGTTCGTCGCGCAATTCTCACATTTTCCTGTTGTCGAACTGTCTCCCATTGTTGGACACTAAGGAGTGGAGAATGTCAAACCTGCAAATGATATTCTTCTAGACGAATTTTGTAGTGTTTGCCTCGGTGATCTTCGCAAGAGGTTCAGCCTCAACCCACTTGGTGAAGTAGTCTATAGCGACAATGGTAAAGGTCGCGCTTCCTCTTCCTTTAGGGAGTGGACCAATAAAGTTGATGCCCCACTTGGCAAATGGCTAGGTGCTGGTTACGACAGACAGGTTTTGAGAAGGCTTCCTTTGAATATTCGAGAAACGCTGGAACTTGTCACATCTCTGGATGAACTAGCAAGCATCCCTTTTCAAGATCACCAAGAAGTAGCCTTGTGGAGAACCTTGTGTGTCAGGGCCGCTCCTCCGGAGTGATTTCTGTAGATTTCCTCATGGATTTTCCTAAGTATGTATGTGGCCTCTTCACCTCCCACACATCGGAGAAGTGGTGAGGCGAAGCCTCTTTTGTAGAACATATCCTCTTTCAGGACGAAGTGCACAGCTCTTCTCCCCAACTTCCTTGCCTCGCTTCTAGAAGCAAGTAGTGTTTGATCCTTTAGATAGGCGATGATAGACTGCATCCATAATGAGGTGCCTTCTATCCAAAGTACTTCTTCTCCTCCAGAAATGTAGGTTTTGATAAGTGTTCAATAGGGACAACTTTTAATGACACAGAATCCTTGCTACTAGCTAATTTTGAAAGGGGCGTCTGCATGTGTATTCTCTAGACGTGGGACTTGAATAAGTTCGAACCTTTCAAATTGAGGGACTAGGTCCCAAACCAATTTCAAGTCTGCGGCCATGCTACTATCTTTGGCCGCAAAGCTTCCACTGACCTGATTCACTATCAGCTGAGAATCGCTGCTGGCTACGAGCTTTCTGACCTGCATTTCTCTTGCCAATCTAACGCCTACTAGAAGGGCTTCGTATTCGACAGCATTGTTCGAGGCTTGGAAGCCAAACCTTACTGCGCAATTTAGCTTGTGACCCTCTGGGCTTTCCAAGACTATTCCTGCCCCGGAGCCTGCCTCTCCTGAGGATCCATCTACGAACAGTTTCCAGGTTAGGGACTCGGCTGGTTTCATTATTGCTTCCATTTTCGGGGTTTTGGCAAACTCAACCACAAAATCTGCAAGGGCCGGACCCTTGATGGCATGTCGAGGTTGGAACAGTATGTCGAACTCGCTGAGCTTGATTGCCCATTTTAGTAGGCGTCCTGATGCGTCTGTTCTCTGCAGCACCTGCTTCAATGGAAAATTGGTGAGAACGTCGATAGAGTGAGCCTGGAAGTATGGCCTCAGTTTCCTTGAGGCTGCGATGAGGGCAAGTGTCAATTTCTCCATGTCTGGGTACCATGTTTCAGCTGGGAGGAGTGGTTTGCTGACGTAATACACTGGCAACTGTCGTTCATTTTCTTCTCTGACTAGAACAGTGCTGAGCGCCATGTCCAATACTGCCAAATACAGCAGAGACTCTTCTGGTCGAGGTTTTGACAAAAGGGGGTGCCTCTCCGAGGTGCTTTTTCAGCGACTGGAAGGCTTCTTCACACTCAGAAATCCATTGAAACTTCTTTCCTTGCTTAAGCACTTTGAAGAAGGGTAAGCTCTTATCAGTGGCCCTGGAGATGAAGCGACTGAGTGCGGCTATTCGACCATTGAGGCTTTGGACCTCCTTCGATTTATGAGATGACCTCATTTCCAGCAAGGCCGTTATCTTTACTGGATTGGCTTCAATTCCTCTTTAGTTAACAATATACCCCAAGAATTGACCCGAAGCCACCCCAAAGGTGCACTTGAGGGGATTCAACTTCATCTTATATTTTCTAAGTATCTGAAAGGTTTGGTCGAGGTGACTTACATGTTCGCTTGCCTGGAGGCTCTTGACTAGCATGTCGTCCACGTAGACCTCCATGGTTTTGTCGATGAGTTCGACGAACGTCATGTTGACCAGCCTCTAATATGTGGCTCCGGCATTTTTCAATCCGAAAGGCATGACTTTGTAGCAGTAGAGTCCTCTGTCTGTGATGAATGACATAGCTTCCTCATCAGGTTGAAACATGGGTATCTAATTGTACCCGAATACGCATCCATAAAGCTCAATAGTTCATGTCCAACAGTGGAATTTACAAGTTGGTCTATTCTTGGAAGTGGGAAGCTATCTTTAGGGCACACCTGATTCAAGTTGGTGAAGTCTACGCACACCCTTCACTTCCCGCTGAGCTTTTTCACCAGGATCGGGTTGGATATCCACTTCGGGAAGATGGCTTCCCTTATGAAACCACTGCGGCTAAGCTTGTCTACTTCGTCTTTGAGAGCTTCGTACATTTCTGGGTTGAGAGCACGTCTTTTCTGCTGATGAGGGGTACATGAGGAGTTGATGTTAAGATGATGGCAACTGGTCCTTGGATCTATTCCCACCATGTCCTCATGCTTACAAGCGAAGACATCCAAGTTTCTTTTCAGGAAGCTTATCATCTCCTCTTTTGCTTCAGGGGACAGTGCTTTCCCTATTCGCAAGAACTGACTAGGGTCCTCTGGGTTGGCGGAGAAAGTTTCTAGTTCTTCCATTGGGGTTGCATTTGATTCAGAGTCAATTATCCGGGGATCTAACTCATCAAGAGCGTGTCCTTATTCAGGGGCATCTTCCATGTTGACGTCTTCCTCCTGATCGGAGGTATGCCCTTGTTCAGGGGCATCGAGCATTTCGACGTCTATACTGGCTTCATTGGCCACTTTAGTTATGATCACGTTAATAGTTCGAGGCTCCGACTTTCTCAGAGAGTTCAAGTAACATGCCCTGAAGCCCATCTGGTCGCCTCGGACCATAGTAATCCAATGTTCAGTTGGAAATTTTATACACAAGTAGTAGATGGACGTGACGGCCCAAAGATCTTTCAGAGCGGGTCTGTCCAATACTCTATGATAGGCCGATCTGTGGTCTACCACTAAGAATTCCATGAAGTGTTGGGCCACTAGGGATGCTAAACCCATCTCGACGGGCAGAGTGATCCGCCCTCGTGGGACGATGCTGTCTTCAGTAAATCTGAATAGTGGGTCGGTCATGGGTGTCAACCCATGTTCAATTTGCATTTTGTCTAAGGTGGAGCCGAACAGTATGTTCACCGAACTTCCATTATCAACGAGCATGCATTTGAGCCCGTTTCTAGCCACTACGGCTCTAACAACCAACGCGTCACAATGGGGATGGTGAACTTCTTCTACATCTTCCTGGGAGAGCGTGATTGGGGCCATCTTATTGGCCGCTTGTGACTCATTGACAATGTAGGTAATTATTGGCGGGTCCTTTGCTTCCCTTGTGTAGTTCCTTTTGGCGTTCCCGGTGTTGCCACCGATGTGAGGTCCCCCAATGATTGTGTCGATCTCCCTGATGACTTGGCTCCCAGAGAATGGGGCTTGATTTCTCTGTCTAGACTGTCCTCGATCCCTTGATTCTCTTCTCCGAGGTGATTGCTCTCCATACCCTCTCTCTCCCCTGTTTGGGGAGACGGATCTGCGATGATATTCGCTCCTGCTGGATGGATGTGAGTTGCTTCGATCAAGGTGTCGATTAGCGTCTCGGCACTTACTAGTGTCATGCCCATAGAGTTGGTGAAAAGTGCAAAATCTTGCCCCTTCCAAGGGCCTATTTGATCGTTTCTTCTTCTTACTATCAGTTCTTCCGGATGGTCCTGCTTCACCAGGAGTATTCTCGTACGCCAATACCAGCACTGCATTCAATGTGGCGGAAGCTAGTGCCTGTCCAGAGGTGGGAGCTATTGTATGACCTCCTTGAGTCTATTGCTGAGTAACAAGGTGCGCTGCAGGTCCTCGACCTACTTGCCTCTGAGGCGGAGGGAGTCCTTGCACAGCACGATTTCGGTGATCAATCATTTCCTCACTGACGATTTCTACTCTCATCATTTCCACCAGTTCGTCATAGGTGACAGGATTCTTGTTGCGCACGTCCCTCAAGAACAAAGTGTTCATGTTGATGCCGCCTTTTAGAGCTGAAAGGGCTTGTCTGTCAGTAACATATTCGCAATATGTGATTTCGTCTATAAACCTGGGGAGATAGCTTTTCAGCATCTCTCCAGGGGTCTGCCTCATATCTTGCAGGTGTTACACTGGGGCCTCTCCTTCTCTGCGTGAGAGGTATTGGTTTAGGAATGTCTTCTTCAAATCTGTCCAACTCCTAATACTTAGGGTAGGAAGTCTGCTATACCACACTTCGGCAGCTCCGCCCAAGGTTAAGTGGAAGGCTCTGCATTTCAAAGCAGGCGAGGCTCCCCTGAGGCTCATCTGTGTCATGTGCTTTGTGAGGTACTTCTCTGGGTCCCCTTTCCTTCATACTTGGGGATCTTAAGGGGCATGAAGTTCGTCGGCATTGGGAAGCTTCAGATCTCCCTTGAAAAAGGGAGGTTATCATCATCGTCATTGATTTCATAAGATCGATAGGGCCCATCTGACCCTTCATCATCTCGAATATCCTGAGGAGGTTGAGGTGCTTCTCCTTGGCTTTCCCAGCTGATTAGGTTCCTTCTATCCCTCCTATTTCTAGGAGGAGGTGTTTGTTCTTACTCCTGGTCTTCCTGAACTGATCTTTGCACTAAGCAGGCCCTATTACTAGGGTCCTGCCCTATTCGGTCGAAGACGCTTACTGACCTTTGTTCCTCATATTCTAGAGGGAAATTGTCCCCTAACTGTGGTTCCACTGGCTGGCTTCCTTGCACATAGGATGTGGCTTCGGCACCCACTTCTCTTTCGAAGGGGCATTCTCTGTGCCCGCGATACAGGGGCTTCCTGCACTGGGTGAGATCTTTGGGGCATTTGATAGCCCTGATGACCTTGGGCTTGCATGAGAAGTACATGCATCGCCATATTCTGAGCTACAATGTCTCTCATGCCCGTCGCTATTTAAGTCATCCCTTTAGTAAGCATGGCTGTTCTTGCACCTCGGTGACGCTGGTGATGGGGTCTCTGGTGAGTGACATTGTTATGAAGCACCTCTTCTTCAGAGGCCTCTCTCATGGGATTGTCGTCTTCATTACTCTCCTTTTTCAAGGGTGACGAGAATTTGGGATATAACTCGATTGTGTACTTTTTCAAGAACGTGCCCTTTTCAGGGTAAGTCGCTAGTTTTTCGGTGCTTTCTTCGATGGAGAATGCAGAACTTTGAACGGGAAGTTTCCCACAAACGGCGCCAATTTTGACCTCGAAAATTGGACCCTCCACGTGGCCAACCGATAGCCACTCCACGTATTCCTCCCTACGCACAATCAACGCACGGTCAGATGCACACGATCGGAACCAGCGGGGATGGTGGCGGTCATATACAATCCGACGGTCAAGTTAGGCTCAGGTGATCGAAATAGTAACAAGGTTGTGCAAAATAGTGGGGAGAAGAATATATGTTTACTTGCTAGGGAGTGTTAAGTAGAAAGAGTTTCATTACCTTTGCTTCTTGCCAAGCATTGAGTATTTATAGGTGAGGAGAGTCGTTGGATGTCTGAACGGTATGAGGCGTCTGCTCATAGGCGTCAATCGACCGCGTCTATAGAGTAGACGGGTAGTTACTTCTCCCGAGTTGAGTTGACATAAAATTGATAGGTCACATCAACTAGCCTCATGGAGACGGGCAGAAAAGATCTTGACAAAGATCTCATTCCGAAATCGACGGCGGATCCTCTGGTCGAGGTCCCCGGGGTTAATTTCGCCTCGGATTCAAGGAGGCAAGGGCGCTTCGGTCAGTCATGCAGGAATATCTACGCCTCATAGTGTGATAGGAGATCGTCTCCATTGGTGAAGTCACTTCGAATGAGCGTTCCACACCTCGCGTGGTGTGGTGGTGGACTTTCCGAAGTGGTTCAGTTAGGGGCGTAACAGATGGTGTAATCAATTTTGTAATTAACCATTATCTCCCATCACTTATTGTATTATATCATGTCACCCGAGTACTTAACATAAGCTAAGTATCGATGTTTATGAGGTCGGTCCTGATTAATATTAATACCTTCAATTTTATTGCATAATTAATTTTAATTAGAGATTTAATTCTGTGACTAAAATAATGGGATCCAAAAAGACTATCTCTATCCGTAGGATGCGAAGTATCGAAATTAATCGAAAGTTCGATTTTATCTACACTACTCATTTTCAAATGATTAATATTCATATTTATGACTTAGTATTAATGTGATAATTATTTTGTATTAATACGAAATTAAAACGTGCTCTTGCTTTGGTGATGAAAAGATTACTTGTTTGACTTCTACCCAGACAGATGGTAGGTGACGCAAGGTCTAGTCATTTTTTTTAAATTCAATATATGTAGGGATGACAAAAAATTTCATTGATGACCAATCACAATAGTCAGGGGCGGAGCCATGAAGGGTTCAGTGCAAACAATTACTTGCATGAACTTTGGGCTAGACTCAGTTCATTTTCAAAAAATTTGTGAAGATTGAAGAGTGTGAAGAAAATCCTCCATTGTGTGTGTAAATCTCCACTCCACCTTCCAGCATTTCCAAAAAAATCCACAGAATTTAGAAACCACCAAATTTGCTACCTCTGGCTTTAAATTTAGGTCTGATTGGAAGATCCTACTTTAGTGAATACAAAAATGAAGTCTTCAAGTTAAGGAGTGTTGGAATACCAGCCCGATAAACTTTGCTTTGCCAACTTCGTAAAAAGACCACGATTTGAACTCCCTAGGCTCAAACAAATGGGTTGGAGGTGGCTCAAACAAACTTGGCACTTTCAAAGGTAAGTTATGTGACATTAGTTTCAAGGATCTAATAACCAAAGAGCGAAGCCCAAGACTAAAAATTCAAAGTCGAGCCCTGATTAAATTAAGCCTGCACTGAAAATTATTCCTGGCTCCGCCCATGACAATAGTAAATGGGGGCAAGGAAGAACGAGGATTATGATCATATTTAAATATCAATACATTTAAAATAGAAAATAATATTAAAAATATTAATTAATTAAACAGGCTGTAAGTGGTGATATTTTGATAAGTAATGTTATTATTCTTATATCATTATCTACATAATGATGTACAAATGGATGACATAGACAAAAGAGAATTTTTTATAATAAATGATTTTTTCTGGATTGTGCTATGTGTACACAATGATATATACATAGTATTACACCCCCTCACATAGAGGAGGGCCCACATACAATAAGATATTCGTGGGCCACTTTTCATATGAGGGGATGTAGTCTATTGTGTACATTATAAAGTGTACAAATATCATTTTTATCATATTTATTGTGAATCTATATATATATACACACACATTAAAATTTCACGTCTCAATCAGTCAATTCCTGCATAATGAAAATTTCACCGAATGAAAAACTAGCAAATTTAACTAAGTAGAAGCATTTACTAGAACTTCCCCCAACTTTATTACTCCTTAATAAAGGAAATTTAAGAACAAATGAAGGGTCAACGCAATACATTTTGTTGCCTCAACGTTAATTTTCTTCAAAAAAAAAAAAGTGCAGCTAACACCCATAACTGCATGGTTCTTGGCAGGGGCGGAGCCAGGATTTATGTTCAGTGCGGGCATCATTTTTTGACGCCGAACTTCGAGGTTTTGGTCATAGATTTAATGATGATAAAAAAATAAAACAATATTACAACAACACTAAAAACGACATAATTTATATATTAAACTTGTTCCTTACGAGTTTTCATATTTTGGTATCATCGTACAATAACTTCATTATCGAGCTTCAAAAATATATCTCTCTCTACATAAACAATAGTGCTATCATTCATCCACTGATCACCCATCCGATTTCGCAATCTATTCTTTAGGATGTTCATTGCAGAAAAAACTCTCTCCACAGTAGCGGTAGCAATCGATAAAATCAATGCTAAAGTCAAAAGTCTGCAAACCAATTGATATACCTTATCTTTCTTTGTCAAAACCAACTTCTCCGCAAGATCATCAAGGCCATTCAACCCTTCAAACTCTTTGTTAGAGCGCATGTCAAAAATATAAGTCTCAAGTTGATCGCTAAGTACAATGCCATCTACTGCAGAGAAATCTAATGGATAAAGCTCAGCAAGTCTAATCAAGCTTTTCTTGTCAAAAGAAGAAAATGAATCTTGTGTGCATAAACAAGCTACACAAAGGAGTGACTCTGTATTTACCTTCGAGAAATGATCATTCAATTCTTGAAGTTGTAAATCAATGACAGAGTAGAACAAATCTACTCGATAATGATGTAAATTTGTAATTTCTGGAGAATTACGCTGAGGGCGACCACGAATTGCAAGGCGTACAAACATATCATTCATGTTGGGTACATGAATGTAATGTTGTTGACAAAAAGATCATCCTTCTTTCAAAAAGGAGTCCCACCCTTCGTCTCTCATTATTTGGAGTTGTCGTTTGCACAATCTCACCAATTGCATTGCATTCACAATATCTTGATCTTTTCTTTGCAATGCCTTTGACAGTTCATTTGACATCCCCAACACACTTCTCATCAACTATAGATTAGATGCAAAATCAAATCTTTGTATCAACTCCAATAAATTTGTTGCATCAGATCTTTGATCACAAGAACAAGATTCATCTTCAACAATCATTGCAAGTGCATCTAAAACAGAAGAGAACATAGCAAGCAAGCTGACCAAAGAATTATAATGTGAACTCCATCGTGTATCACCAGAGCGCTGAAGGGTCGTTTCTCGATTAAGTCCCCGTCCACTTAAAATCTCACCTTTTTCCAATGCCTCAACAATAAAGTCTAATTGTTTTTCTCGAAGAAGATCACAACGTTTAGAAGATGCTCCAACAGTATTTATCACGTTCCCAACCACACAAAAGAAGTTAGTAATAGGGATGTTCTTCTTTGTCACAGCTACAAGCGCAAGTTGGAGTTGATGAGCAAAACAGTGAATGTAAAAGGCACATGGACTCTCCTTCAAAATGAGTGTTTTCAGACCATTAAACTTACCTTGCATATTACTTGCTCCATCATGACCTTGTCCTCTCAATCTAGACATACTCAAGTTATATCTAGAAAATACCTTATCAATTGCAACCTTAAGTGATAGAGTCGTGGTACTTGTAACATGTTCAATCCCTATAAAGCGTTCATTGACATGCCCACTATTGTCTACATAACGTAAAACAATAGACATTTGCTCCTTCATTGACACATTATAAGATTCATCAACTAGAATAGAAAATAGTGAGTCGCCAACATTTTTTATAATAACATTGATCGTTTCAATAGCATAAGCATTTACTATATCCTTTTTAACATTAGGTGATGTCAATTTGCAATTATGAGGAGCATTTCCCAATGTGACGGCATTGATAACTTCATTATGAGCAGCCAAAAATTGCAATTGCACTAAGAAGTTACCTGGATTGGAAGAATCCTCAGATTCATCATGACCTCGAAATGAGTGCCCTTGTCGCAAAAGAACTCGAACACAATCAATGGATGCATTAAGGCGTGTAACATATGCATTTCTTGCTTGTTCTGACTGTTTGTAGAAAACTGATTGAATGTGCTGCTCTTGATTCATCAACACTTCACACTTAATGCGAGCTTGATTATGTGAACTATCATGAAGTCCAACATGAGTATGAAGCCTTTTTTTTATCTTTCCAATATTTAAAACCTTCGCCAACAAAAGACTCACCTCCACCTTGCTTTCCAGAACTTGTTTTGAAAAGATAACAATACAAACAATAAGTAGCATCCTTCTCTACACTATACTCCAACCAACTACCGAACTCTTTAAACCACGAAGGATTGAATCGTCTAATTGTTACTCCAAATTGTCGTTTTGGAAAGTCATGATCTTGGGGCTGACAATGACCCTTTAACATATATGCTCTTCGAACTTCATCTCGAATGTTAACATTGTAATCCAAAATGGGTATCCTTAGACTAGGATCAGTTGGAAGTTTTGTGACATCAAACTCCACATGATTCGATACCCCCTCATCAACATCCACATTATTCGATGCCCCCTATTCAACACTATCTACGTTCCTTTTTCGTTGAAAGTATCTATTCATTTGATATCTGGATTTAAACATTTGATATCCAATTATTACTTGAAGTGAGTGAGAATAATTCATAATAACAAAAGGATCATAAATTCACAATTTCACAATTTCAATTCGCAAGTGCAATTCACATTTCACAATCCAATTCACAATTTCACATTATCAATCCAATTTCACAATATCAATTCACTTTCCAATTCGCAATTTCACAATGCAACTTACATTTTACACTATTTCACAATCCAATTCACAATTTCAGTTGAGCATCAGCATACTGCATACATATAAACATCTTTCAGTTGCATACTTGCACATATTGTACATTGCAAGTAATTAAAGCCACAAATTGTATTCATTGTTTCATTTCCCATAAGCTAGTGCTTCATTTTGAATGTACCAATACCAAACCAGGCAATCTACCATTCTACCGATTCTACCCCCATCAAGATTAAAACAGAGCTATCAAAACCGGCCATAACCTCTCTAGTCTCAACAGTCAACAGAAATACAGAATCATTTCTCACAATAAAAAATAAGCAGGAAGAAAGTAATGACAAATATAGATAGTGAAAATCCACATTAAACTTCAATCAAGGAAGTGCTTGTTGACAAAAATTGGTGAAACTTACTTCGCAGCAGGTTGGGCTCCGCCCCTGATTGGAGTTCTCAACTAGGAAATCCTTTATCTTTTCATTGTACACCTTCTTCGTTCTTCTGGGCTCCGGCAGCTTCGGGCTTCTCCAGACTCCAATCTCCAGTGAATCGGTGATTTGGTATGAAACTGAAAGTAACTCAGTACGTATCACTTCTTCTTCTTCGCGGCAGTTGGCACTTGTCAGTGGATGGGAACTACAGTCTAGAAGCCGACGACTGTGAGTTCGAGTGGCGACTGGGGAGTTGGAGTACAGCAAGGGTCGGCGGCCTGTTGACAGAGAGGCGATTCAACAGCAAGGGTGAAGGGTTTGTGTTTTGATTTGTAATTTGAATGAAATCGGTTTGATTGGAATGAAATCGGGTCTAGGTTATAAACGGGTAATGGGCTGAGGCAAATGGGCTTTAACAGGCTTTAACCAAAATATATATATATATATATATATTGGGCCTAGTGGAGCCCAAAAGTTCAGTGCGGGCAGATCTCTGCCCCTGGTTCTTGGAGAAACAATGAACTGAGGCGAACCAACCAAATAAAAGGCTGACAATGGCTAAGAAAACCAACCCACAAAGTCTTGCACTTTTCGCCCAATAGAGGAGACGCAAATAATTGCTTTGCTGTAATTTCCCATGTGCAATTAGCCTACCAGATATTAACTTACAATTTTAGTTCTTGTAAGTTAATTTGGACTGCTTTTTGTCCCTTCCAGTAATGGATTAATTCTGCCCATGCAATGTTGCTATCAAGTAAATCCGCAATATATGTCTTCATTTGCATGAGCATCACTGGTACCACTGCCATTTTAACTGAAAGGGGTGACAGACCTTTCCAACAGATTCCTACAAACGCCTATGCATTTTTACAAAAACTGCACATCACATTTACTTTTACTTCACAACATTGTTTTCAATCGGGTCAAGAATCCCCCAACAGTTTCTTCAGTCACTTGGATCGGTGCAAATGTAGCATCCATTGTGATTCTTCACTCGCTTTTGGGAAGAATCAGTTTCTGTTGTTGGAAAAAATTCCAACTTGGGGGGGCCACACATGTACATTTATTAGAATGTCTCGTGCTATTTTAAAGTAAATTTAGTCGATAAAGTGATCCATTGGATTTAATTTTGGACTAATGGGTATTAAATTTTATGGGATTAAAGTGTAGAGACCAGAAGGTGTTATTTTGAATTGATGAGGGGCCGATTTGAAATAACTTAAAGTTAATAACTGCCAATTGCAGTTATTTTAATAAATGGTTATGGTCCCCAATTTGAACGTGATTTTTTTTGGTATCTCTGCATCCCCATCAACAGAGACTTTTCAAGAAAACAAAGGAAGGAAAATCACGTATCAATTGGAAGATCAAAACCCAATTAAAGCAGTCAGATTCATGGATCAAGGTATGTTTTCGCACTTTTCATTGTCTTTTTGATTTCAACATGAAATTTATGATTTTTATGAAAGGATTTTATGAATATGGTTCCTTTCAATTTGTGCAACATCTGTATGTTTTGAAGGTTCGATTATCAGTCTTTTTTCCTTATGTACTGCTTCCTCGCATTGAAACATCATTGCTTAACCTTTATGTTGGGCGGGTGTTCAGCATGGACAACTGAGAGGAGATCAATACCTGATATATTGTATTCATGAAAGGTGTTACTGATTCTAATGATTTGCGCTCAACATTTTTAGTGATAAGTTGCAGCAAGACAAGATTCTCAAGATGATTAGAAGAATGTTGTGAAGAAGTGCATTGAGATGTTCAACGAGATTGTTGAGAACGAGTAGGACTACAACAAATTCTATGAGGCTTTCTCAAAGAATTTGAAGTTGGGTATTCATGAGGACAGCAAGAGCCTGGCTAAATTGGTTTAGTTACTCAGGTATTACTTAACCAAGAGCGGTGATGAAATGACTAGTCTAAAAGGTTGACTATAATTTCACCGGGATTTTGTTAATTGGCGTGTTTCTAATCAAATTTGACTAAAATTTCTCCAGGATTTTGTTCGTTAGTGCGTTTCCAACCGAATTTGACTAAAATTTCATCTGAATTTTGTTCGAAATGTGCCAATGAACCAAAGTCATGTGAAATTTTAGTCAAATTTGATTGGAAATGCGCCAATAAACCAAACTCAGGTAAAATTTTAGTCAAATTTGATTGAAAACACGCACCTAAATTTGGTTCATTGGAGCATTTACATTCAAATTTGACTACAATTTCAATAGTCGGATCTTTAATCTTTTATCATTTATGAAATTAATTGAAAAATGAACAATGAAGTTAGGGATATCTGCAACTACATTCTTATAATTATATGACAGGTGCCAAAATGTACTGTACAGTACATGTGAGTGAAGAATACACTAAAAACGTAGATTTTGATGAAAGTTTATAAAATGTATGATTGGAATTTGTGTCCCATAGATATGTGGTCCGGAATGAAAGAGGGCCAAAAGGCATCAATTATGTTACAGGAGAGAGCAAGAAAGTTGTAGAGAACTCGTCCTTCTTGGAGCAGCTCAAAAAGAAGAGGGAACGAGGTTCTTTAAATCATCGATGCCATTAACGAGTACGCAGTCGGGCAGCTTAAAGATAGCGATGGCGAAAATTTGGTTTCTGCTACAAAGAAGAAGTTGAAACTTGATTATGAGACTGGGAGAGTGGAAAAGAAAAGGGAGTGGAAAAAGAAGTCGTTTCAAAACTTGTGCAATGAAATCGAGGACATTCTTTAAGCTAAGGTGGAGAAGGTGGTGGTTTCGGACAGAACTGTGGATTCCCCATGCTGCTTGGTGACCGAAGATTACGATTAGACTAAAAAATTGGAAAGGATTATGAAGGCAAAGGCTTTGAAGGACAATAGCATGAATTCTTACATGTCTAGCAAAAAGACTGTGGATGTTGATACTAACATTCCCTGCAACCCGATCACTAAATTATCCCGATGACCAATTTTAAATGAAATTGCAATTCCACCTACGAAGTGCTCGGGCATATGGTGGCCTCGAGTTATTATGCCTGACCACATCATGCGCGACTACTTCCCGCAATGCAAAACTCATCCTCGAGCACCAGAAGTCCTCGAGCATATGCTCCCCTCACAAACCTACGATATTGTTGACCTTTTAGAATTCCTACGCAATTATGACTCTAACTCAACCATACACTTGACTCCCACAGGGATTCTATCCCATATATAATTATTGAATTTAAACAACTCCTTTACCATTCAAGACTCCAAGAGATAAGGACATCCAGATAGTTGTGTCCCACTAGGAGAATGTCACTTACTACTATAAATACAGATCCTTGAGCCATTATTCAGGTACATTTTTCATTGTTCTCCAGCATATAGCCTCACGCATATAATTTCCTTTCTGACTTAAGCATCGGAGGGGCGACGAGAACACACATTGTTGCCTTTGTTTCAGGTACCGAAAGATACGATCGTGATCAACCCGAATCATCAAGCTCGGGAAATCTGCAGGTACGATTTTTGGTAGCATCATTGGCGCCGTCTGTGAGAAACGCTACCAAAAGCCATGGTTAACACGCAATCAGGTCTTCCTCCTGCAAGCTCATCCGCTCCCATCCCTCATCCTGCCGAAGATCAACTGGCTCCTCATGAAGAATCTTCGGGAGTGCCCACACCTCTACCGGCAGATATTACAACCGAAGCCTTTGAAGAGCTGCATCAGCAGGTGGCCACGCTCACGCAACTGTTAAGTCAAAGAAATACAGATCCGTCGCCAGCGTATGCGGAGCATGGCAATTTTATGGCCAATGCTCGAGCACGATCACTAAACCCAGCAAATGGCGGAGTTGGAACCTCGGGTATTCATAATATGGCCTCGGGCTCAAGATTGATCGCCATGGATTCCGGTGAAATTACCCGGATCATTCAAGAAGGAATTACAGCTGGCCTGCAACATAATGCTCGGGGGCCAACAGGCTTCACCCCCAAACACTCCATTCATGCCAGGGATATTGACATATCCTTTGTCTGACAGATTCAAATATCCTCGCATTAAAGAGTATGA